AAGGCCGGGATGGAAGAGGAGCATGCTTTGGAGGTTGTCGACTGTTGATGTAGTGACACTTACCATCGATATGCTAACCCCAGCATCCGTTGAACCTATCTTCGCTATGCTTTGCTTCCGCTGTCCGTGGCAGTTTGTCAATTCACTGCGACGCTGCCTGGAAACTCAGACTAGCGTCTGTCTAAAACGCGGGCTTGTTCCAGGTCTTTTTTTTGCCGCCCAGGATGTCACCAGAAACTGCTGTTGCTGCTGGCCTCATGTCACGTTGGGACTGCTGTTGCTGGAGGCGGCGACAAGCGGCGGTGCTGGAGCTGTTGCCGATGAAAAAATGCTTCTGCTGCCATGGAGACTGGTTGAGAAGTGCGCCAGGTTGCTGCACTGCATTTTTGGACTGCCACGATAAACCCTCCTTGGACGATCATGGGACTTAGTAAGTCGGGTTATAAGTACCTCAATTAGCCTCAATTGGGGTTATAAGTACGAAATTATAATTGTAGCCACTTTACTTATAACCCTACTTACTAAGACCCATGATCCTCCTTCTAGAACCCTTATAGATCCCTTTAAGGAACCCTAGTATAGAACCCTATAGTACCCTTAAAAGGAGCCCTAAGCCCTACTTACTAAGACCCATGATCCTTTAAGCCTGGCCTTAACACCCCAAGCCCTTAACCCCAAACCCAAAGAGCCGAGAGCCGCCGAGCTCTGAAGGACATTTAGGGTTTAGGGTTTAGGGTTTAGGGGTTTAGGGTTTAGGGTTTAGGGGTTTAGGGTTTAGGGTTTAGGGTTTAGGGGTTTAGGGTTTAGGGTTTAGGGGTTTAGGGTTTAGGGTTTAGGGTTTCCGCTTGAACCCGACCTCTGGGCTTCAATCCTTTAGCCCACTTGGAGGGTCGGGGGACTTAGTAACTATAAGGGGTTCCTTTAAAGGGGTCCTTTAAAGGGATCTATAGGGATTCTATAAGGGTTTAGCGTTTAGGGGGACTTAGTAGCTGGTTATTTTAGGGACTTATAAGTACCATAATCCCAATTAGGGTCCCTTTTAGGGTACTTATAAGTGTACTTACTACCTACTTGCTAAGTCCCCCGACCCTCCAAGCACATCCCTCCCGTTTGTAGGGTCCGTGCATATTCTTGGCTGACTTCTGAACCCCTCCTAAAAATTTAAACTTTTAGCCTGCTTAATATAGTTAATATAGAAACCCAAAAAGTTCAAGTCCTAAGAGCCAACCAGAAGAACGCCAAGTATTCTACACTTTGCATTGCAGCCACACACAAACAGCAGACCTTTGCAGGTTAGGGCCCCGGTACTGCAGCTACATTGGTTCTATGCGGACATGTTGCAGTCTGAACTGGCAGTTTCCCAAGGAATTCATGAATCTGCAGATAACTCTAAGCATCGGAACCCTGACGTAGATGTACCACCCCTCCCACCAGGCATCTCCTGAAACCCCCAACCCCAAGCTTCAACCCTTGACTTGGGTACTGCCCCCACTCAGCCACGGTTGAATAATATTCATTATATAGATTAGGTACTGCCCCCGTACAGCAAGAGTCTAAATTTGGGCTACTAGGTCCTAATATATCTGTATTATGAATATAATTCAAATATTACTGAGTGGGGGCAGGAACCAAAATATGGATATATTAGGACCTGAATAGTAGCCCCTATTTTAGACTCTTACTGTATATGAGGGCAGTACCCAGCCCTTAACGCTTAAACCCAAAGGCATCGAGAGTCAAAGATCTCCAAACACGCCGTCAAAGTCCGCAAAACGAGCCAACAAAAACACTCTACCTAGGGTTTAAGGGTTTAGGGTTCAGGGGTTTAGCGGTTAGGGTTTAGGGGTTTAGGGGTTCAGGGGTCAGGGTTTAGGGTTTAGGGTTTTGTAACCTACTTGTCGGGCATCACGGGGAACTAAAGGTTGACCTTTTGGGCCATATAGGGATTATATAGGGGCTATACTACCCAAAAAAGGTTAAAGAGTACCTACTCTACTACTAGGTTGATAAACACCCTTGCAGGGGCCCTCAAACGCAAAACCCTTAAACAAAACACAGCTACTCAAGGAACCCAACAAACCCTTAAACCCCTATATGCCCTAAACCCTAAACCCTACAAGAAAGGCAAAGGCTAGGATCCTTAAACCCTTAAACCCCTAAACCCCAAACCCTAAAATAAAAAACACAAAACACTAAACCCTAACCCCTAAACCCCTGCACCCTAAACCCCTAGCCCTTAAAACAACAAAAACAAAAAAACAACAGTAACCTGGGATCGGCCTCGGAGGCGCCTCCCAGAAGCAGCCCCGGCCCGGCTACGAGGAGCTCGCCTGTCATAGGCAGCAAAACCTATACTGAACTTAGAACCCTAGCAAAAATTGTAATTTTAGATGTTTCTTAGAGGTTATAATAACCAAAAATTGGAAATTATTTCGAAGTACCATTTAGGGAGCTTTCTGGACGAGGGCTCAGGGGTTGCAGGGGTTTAGGGTTTAGGGGCGAGGGTTTAGGGTTTAGGGACTGGGTTTAAGGGTTTCGGGTTTAGGGACTAGAGTTGAGGGGTTTAGGGGTTTGGGGTTTGGGATTCAAAGTCCAGGAGTTTGGGGCTTCAGTTCTAAGGGTTGATTAGGGGTCAAGGTTTAGGGTTTCGGGGTTATGGCTTGGGCTTTGCCAAGTTGTACGTTTGTGTTTGGGGTGAGTTACGCCTAGATGTTCAGAGTTTGCTTGATGTCGCTGACCCGAGTACAGGCAGAGCATGAGATATCCAGCCTTGCCCTAGATTCCCACACGATGGAATACGGAACTAAACGGATTGAACTCGAGAACGGACTGCACTACCGGGCGCGTAAGGCCCACGTCTTGTAAATATCAGGAAAATTATGCGTTGTATACATGTACCGTATGCATACGTATACATATACATATCCATATCCGTAAACATATGCATGTACATATACACATACATCTACATCTACATCTACGCATACATATACATACAGAACTAGATACGACTACACAAACACAGGCACCTGTGTATGTGTATGTATCTGAGTGTTTACATGAACTTATATATGTATGAATGTATGAATGTATGTATGTATGTATGCATGTATGCATGTATATACGTATGTATATATCGTTGTACGTATGTGCGCATGAATGCATGCGCAAGCGTGCATGCACGTGTGTATGTCCGTCTGTGCCTATGTGTCTGTCTGTCTGCCTGTCTGCTTGTCTGTCTGTGTCCACCTGTCTGTATGAATGCATGGATGCAGGCATGTCCGTGTATCTGTCTGTCCGTCTGTCTGTATGTACGTATGTATGCAAATGGATATGTGTACAGTGATATCTATGTTTACAGGTTGATGAGAACACAATGAGCGGCTTCAGAAAGCGCATGCCATGGTATGGGCATCATCGTTGATCTGAGCTGATGCCTGGCACATGATGCTTCGTTGATCAAGGCCGTACGATTGCCATGCTCGACAAACAGCTCCCGTTGCTATGCATGCTAAACCTTTAGATGATATTAGTACTATGACCATGATTATGACCGTGTGATTGTTGTTATGAAAGTAGAAGCAAGAGTTAGTGTGAGCATTCTTGTTCTGCTTCAGGTTTTGATCCTCTTTAACATTGGCTTCATCGTTACCATATAACACATGTACATATGTATATGTGTGTATTGCACTATTATACATATATATATATATATATATATATATATATATCTATGTATGTAAATGTATGTATGTATGGAGAACATTATGTAGCAACATTCAACACTTAACAACACATAGCGGCCTGGTTCGCAAATGCGACATGGAACGCCTGGATAGTCGGCAGCTTCCAACCAGACCTGCGTCGCGGCCACGGGCTGTGGTAGGGACGCATTTCTCGGTTTAGCGCTTTGGGGATCGAGTTTCGGGTTTGGGGTTCGGGGTTGGGTTTAGGATTCAAGGGTTTGGTTGTAACCTTCGAAGTGTGTACCATTTAAGGTCAAGGCTTTAGGGATGTGATGGGATGTGGGTGAAAGGCTTACAGTAAGGTTCAGGGCCAAGGGCTTAGGGTGGCTTTCTCATGGAAGGGTAAAGTGCGAATAGTCAGGAATGCAACTTGCAGCGTGGGGCGGCAGCACTCGCGAAACGTGTCGGGAAAACGCTGGCACTTTTCGCATCGATGGCCCGCATCCTGCTATCAACCCTAAGACCTACTTTTCTCAAACTCTGAATCCTGAATCCTCGGCCATTTCGGTTTCAAGTTCCTGACTTGGAAACCCAAAACCGTCCTAAGGTTTGTGGCCGCCCAGTTCCTTTCGCCGGAGATTTACTGCAAACACACCGAAGCCGAAAACCAAGAGCCTGAATCCAAGACTGCACAACCCGAACCCCTAAACCCCCAGAATGCAAACCCCACCGCCCAAAAAAAAACCTTGCAGTTTCACCTGTAGTCCTCGTTAGTATAATAATCTCTGCGAAACCTTTCAAGGAAACCTTAGGAAGCCGAAGCCCTCAACCCTGGCGTCAAAGGCAAGGCATCTTCCTGTGGTCGATTTTCTGGGTGAAAGTTCAGGAATGAGTTCAACTTACCAAAGTCTATACGTGTAGTAAACAATATGGCTCCCTTCTTAACCCTGAACCCTAATGAAATCCTGCACCCTACACTCTAGACCCTAAGCCCTAATGGCACCTTAAGCTATGCTCCTCAACAAGAACCCACTACTTGTCGGGTGTCATGCGGAACTCAAGTTTCCCCTTTTTGGTTACATAGGGGTTATATAGGGACTATACTACCCAAAAAAGGTTAAAGGTTACTTACTCTACTACTAGGTTTATAAACACCCTTGCAGGAGCCCTCAGACACAAAACCCTGAACCCAACAACCATCAAAAAAGGCTAGGATCCCTAAACCCTTAAACCTCTAATCCCCTAAACCCCTATGCCTATACCCTAAACCAGCTCTGCAGCTGCCGGCGCTCGATTTTTGATTCGGTCACAGAGCTAAGCGATCCGGTCTGGGCTCACGAGCCCTCCAGAAAGGTCGCAGGACTCCTGCGCCAGGGTTGACGGTTTGAGGCTTTGGGGTTTCTAGCGTCTGGGATTGGGACTTCAGGTTTGGGGTCTTGCAGGGTTAGGGGTTAGGGGTTGGAGAGGTGGGACTTAGGGTTTAGGTTTTGAGGGGTTAGGGATAAGGCGCTTTTTGAAGGATTAAAGTCTACCTTTCGGCGCCCTTTCGTATGCAATTCAGCCCATGCGCATCTTCCAACGTTCAGTGCCACATGGGAGTTTCCGAAAATTTGAGGTACCTTATTTTGGGCCCTTATAATAAGGATCCTAGCATTTAGTGTACTGCATTAGGGTCCCCTATTCTCGGAAACTGCCATTTGTACTGGGCTTGAAGTCACAGCAAGAACGCGTACGCCATGCAATGAGACCTCTAGTCAGGTCGGACATGGAACATGAGACCGTGCTCGCAACAACATGCAAGAATATGGCATAATCGACTACAGTACTAATGACATGGCACATACAAACAGTACAGTAAAATGTGATATACGATAGACAGCCAAGAAGATAATCTATCGTCTAGTATAGTCGAATGCATTATAACATATCCAAGTGTAATGTACTATAAACTCATACACTATCATAGAATGTCAAGCCCACAAAACATATTTATGATCTAATATGAAGAGCAAAATATGATAAAATATAATGCAACAGACTCCTGTCGGTCCAGCCCAGTGATGGCATCGACATCACTTTGCTGCAAGTCCGGAAGAGTCTCAGCACGGAGATTTTGTTGCATCCGCGCTGTCGACGTTGTTTTGACCTAAACCAGCCAAACATGACATAACCACGAACCTGATACACTAGTTGCGTCGTACATCCCACAAAACTGCAACGGCACAAAAGAGTTCCGAAAAGAAGCTGTGCGACGATGGGTGTGATCCCACGTTGCAGCATCCACTTTAGGACAGTCTGCGCGGGAGAGATGCCATTCGCGGCCGCCACCTTCAAGGACTGCTTCGATGGCTAGGATTCACGAATAATGATGTAAGCTCACGGATGGGCGGAGGAAGGAAGAACATGGCAGCAGCTTCAACAACTCTTCATAACACATTGACATGCAGCAATATGCTTCAAGCACAAGAATCTGCTGAGGCAGTGGACCCAAAGCTTTGGACACTGAAGACCTGGACACCGAGACTGCAAACCCATAGACAGAGCTGGAAAATTTTGGTGTACTCGGAAAGTGCCGTCTAGCCGATACTAACCTATGATTTCTGATGAAGAGCTGCTCCTGAAGACTGAAAACTCTCATTTGGCAACTACATTCTGCGGCACTACTCTGCGGCGTGGACAGCCACACAGTGAAGCTCCCATTCCACATATCCATATGCATCCATCCCGGTGGACATCAACCTAATGCAGGAGGGTACCCGGATCTTGGCTCAGGGTTCAGGAGTTATGGCAACTTGAATTCAATTTTGCGCAGCTACCAGCACCTCGTTGAGCAGTGGGTCGCTCAAGAGTTGCAGCCGCCCCGATGCCAGCGGCGAGTAAGCCTGCACTCGGATGCCCTTCTGCTGGCAATACCTGCGGATAACTCGAAGCTCCGACTCAGGGTTGAGGGTCTACTTAAAGGATCGTGGGACTTAGTAAGTAGGGTTATAAGTACCTCAATTGGCAGTATAAGTAAGTATAGATGTAGTTAGTTTACGTATAACCCTACTTACTAAGTCCCATGATCCTCTAAGTATCCCAAAGGGTCCTATGTACCGATATAGTAGAATGTAGGGTTTCCATATTGGGAGTTACTATTATGACTTAGGGAAGTATTCCCCATAACAGTACATAGCACCCTTTGGGTATGAGAGGTCTTGAATATCTACAGTCCAAGCGGTTAGGAGATGGAGTTTCCGTAATGATGGGGTCCACATCTAGCTGCAAGCCATCGGGGGATATTAGTTGAAAACAGCTGCCACCTCAATGCTCATGACCACTCACTCTATGTACTGCGCTTGTTGCTTTACCAAACTCTAAATCCTAAACATTGAGAAGTCTTTCAAAGTCTTTCTATACAGCTCAGGGTAGAGTTTTGTACCGGGCGGCTCGATGCACCACACCATGATGCGAGCTTTAGGCAGTCTGAAGGACAGTACAGCCTGAAGTCACCGAAAATCCAAGGGTAAAAGGAGGGACCCTTATTAAGGACCCCGAGGTAGATACCCTTAATATAGCTATCATATACCCATTCTAAAGCCCATGATAGGGTAGGGGAAAAATAGTAAAAAGGATGTTTCTGAGGTGCGGTCCTAGGGACTATATACTGTTGGTTCTGAGACCTTGCCCTACCCTATATAGCCACCTCATCCATTCTCTTACATGTCCGCCTGTTTCATTCCTGCCTTCATCGTCGCCTCATCCATTATCTCATTCTTTGCCCTCTGCTTCATTCCTTCCTTCCTCCCATCATCAACATCGTCGCCTCATCCGTTTCTCATCCCAATAAAAATTTAAGTATCTATAAATTCATTTTTTTCATTTCTTAACATGGTCACCTAATCCGCTTTCATCCTTCATCATATCGCCTCACCCGTTTTCTGGGACTAAGCCCCCTCACACGCTTTACCAAAGATTTATAATACTATTTAGGTTTTATTTCGTTGGCGACTTCTTCATCTTCCAGATGGTGCGCCTGACACGATTGTATTGTTTGAGCGAAGCAGTTGTGCGTGAGAAGAGTTACCTTGAAGACTTGAGCAACTGATTGCTTTGATGCTTGAGCCGTTTGTGATTTCAGCTGAGCATCCCTTCTAAAAAGCCTGAAGCAATGTCCCGTCGCGTCTTGAAGAACCATTTGAAGAACAAGGGGGAGCTCATCAGCGAGACAGTGAAGAAGGGGATGGACAAACTCATCTCTCGCAGTTCCGAAGTTGTGGTGGGTAATGCTTCTTGCCCATCATCGCTTTCAGCATCCGCCCAGCCTTTCATCACGAAGCTTGAGGAAATCAAAAGCAACCTCAATGATGAGAACATCCTCACCAACTTCTTACAGGATTTGAGCGATGTGAAATTGAAGGCGCTTCTTGACGTCTTCAATCCGAAAAAGAGAAGGAACTGTGTGGAGGAGCGTGTGCTGGACAGCGCGTTCATTGTGATAGACGAATTGGACGAGCTGAACAGGTGGATAGAGTTTATCCAGCACTTGAAGAAGGAAACCATTCAGACTTGGATGAAAATACTTACTTCAAAGCACTTCAACGAAGATGACCAGAACCATCTTTCTTGTAATCCAACTATGCTTCACGAGATGGTCAAGCAATCCATCGCCTACCGAGACGGCATCAAAAGGGCATTGCAAAGGACTAACCAAGAACATCGTGAAGAACATCGGGAAGAACCTGAAGTTTCAAATTGCTGTGTGATGTAGTTTTGTCTGTGTATTATTTAAGAACCATAGCAGTAACCAACAGACACTATAGCAGTGACCAACAGACACTATAGCAGTGACCAACGGACACTATAGCAGTGACCAACGGACACTATAGCAGTGACCAACAGACACTATAGCAGTGACCAACGGACACTATAGCAGTGACCAACGGACACCATAGCAGTTTCCCTCCTAAAGCTGTGGTTCTTATGACAATTATTTAATGAAAGCATCTATTTAAACATGTGACGGAGTGCTCGGGAAAATCCTGAGTTTTTGCTCTTGCGTACAGTCTGCTCTGTCCTGAAAACAGGATTGAATGAAAATAAACAGCTAAACCGAAGCCCTGAAGAATAAAAGAACTGCGATTTGCTCCGTTTGGTTGTCGTGCTCGGATTTCATCAGAAGCAAAGCGCAACGAGTTGAGTGATTGAGCTCTTTTGCTCAATTTTCAGCAGTCAGATACACAGGCCTTTGTTCTCGCACCGTTTGCTATGGCTTCCTCTTCGGGAGCTTCGGGATATGTCTCAAAGACAAAGGAGATGGAACGAGCTTTGGAAAAGGCGAAGGAGATTGCACCAGAGCTCACCACAGACAAATTCAACGAGATTACAGAATGCTTTCAACGAGGAACAAGTGACGATTTGGTGGAGATGCGTGAGGGCGTGAAGCTTTTTGAAAGCGTTCTGTTGCTTATGAAGGACAAGATCGCAAAGCTTGAGGGCAAGAGTGGCACAGAGAAGAAGACCGACGACCGCACGGACCGCACGGAGGTTATCAATCTCAAAATCTTCTATGGTGAGACCTCGTGGGACTATTCCACCGACCTTACCCGCAAGTCCAATATCAAGAAGCTTGAGACCGATATCTCCCGACTTGTCGGGATGGACCGCGGGAAATTCAAAATCCGCTTCCCAGCCATCACTCATGATGATTTCGAGGGTGGTGGCCTCACTCTCTACAAGCTTGGTGCCAAAGACGGTATGCGTGTGGATGTGACAAAGCTGTAGAGCTTTTGTTTGTCCGATGAGGCTTGACTTCGGCGGTTCTCATCATCTGAGGATAAATAAGATAAACTAAAAAAGCCTCAACTAAAAAATAAGGTTTGTCCCTCGGATGATTGGAGGAAACCCGACTGAGACGACTGCAGCGACAAGGAAAGAGCGACCGTTGCTTCTTCCCTAAATCCTAAACCCCTAAAACCCATAAAATAGAAAATCAAAGCATATAGTATTTAAAAAAATATGGGACACTATAAATATCAAGGTAACTCCCATAAAAAATACACCATAAATTCAAAATAATAATAATATGATAGACGATAAAAAAAATCAATAATCCCCGACTAAGTCCGATGGACTTTTTAAGTAAATAAAGAAACCTTTGACAAATAAAATGGCAGGTGGAGCAGAACATCAACGACACCGACTTCATCAAGAACGACGCAACGGTGCTTCCTTCCCCCGCTTGGTTTTTTCGGTTTAGGCGTTCAGGGTTTTTTCAGGGTTGTTGTGGTTTAGTGTTCAGGGTTGTTGTGGCTTGGTTTAGGTTAGTGAGAAAGATTTTAAAAAAGGAGCGCACCCCATCTTTTTTTATTGTTATTATTTCGTTTCGTGATTTATTCCCCTGTGTGAAAAAGCGCTCCTTTTTTCATACATTTTATTTTTTGGGGATGGTTTAGGAATTTGGTTAAATGATGCTCCTGATGCTCTTGATGCTTCTGATGCTCCTGATGCTCGCGGTGCTCTTGGTGCCCAGCCCAGCCCAGCCCAGCCCCAGAACCAGCACACAGGCAAAACTACTTAAAGGGAAGCCACCTTATACCCTAATGGCAGACACAGGAGCCCTAAAAACCGCAATGCGATATGTATTAAATAGCAAAACAGGTGAAATAAAAAAGACTAAAAAAGGAAAAGAATTAAAACAGATTATAATTGATGGAAAACAATATAAATATGACAAAGAAAAGCCTTTTACAGGGAACTTAAAAAAACAATTAAATAAAATTAGTAAAACACCAGGTTTTAAAAGGTTTGAGATTTTAGACAAAGCCAGTAAAGGGGTTCTGGTTAGAAAGAATTTAAAAAGATATGCTATATCAACGTTTGGGAAAAGAACTGATAATTTTAGCGCTTTAAAAAGATATGCTAATACCTATTCTATCATTGATATTGAGAAAATGGGTTTTGCTGGTTTAGGGCATATATATTATCAAAAATCACGATTAAAAGAGTTTTTAAACAAACATAAAAGTATGAAATTATTAATTGATGTTGAGTTTGAATTAGAATATATTGATACTCTTAATGGGGTTGGAGAAGGAGAAACATTTTTAACAACCATCAGGAGTAGAAGATATAATATATTAAATGAAGAGGATTTAAACAAAGCAGTTAATAATGCAGGTAATGATATTCAAATTATTCTGGAAACTAAAGAGCTTCAAAAATCAGGGTTGAGATTAAAAAAAGTTAATAAAATCACTATTCATTATGACAAATATGACCCAACAAGAGCAGGACAATATATTGAATTACCTAGGTGGATTGCTTTAAAAAAGGCGTGTATCAATATTAAAAATTATGATAATTTATGTTTTAAATATTGTGTATGGTGTAAGTTCCACGACATATATAAAAAAGACCATCCTGAACGATTATATCATTATAGTAAGTATTTAGAAAATGATAATTTTATTAAATGGGACGGTGTAGAGTTCCCAGCGTGTAATGAAGATATAGATAAGTTTGAAGAAGTTAATAGTAATACTATATCAGTAAATGTTTATACCATTGATACAGATGTAGATAAAATAAGAGTTGATAAAGTAACAAAAATAACCAACCCAGCATGTCATATTAATTTACTAAGACTTGATGAAGACAATAATAATCATTATGTTTTAATAAAAGATTATAACAGACTTGTTGGATGTCAAACAAATAACAGACAAAATAAATTCTTTCATTGTCATTATTGTCAAAAAGGTTTTAGTAAAGAAAACTTATTACAAGCTCATTTATTAAAAGGTTGTATGGCTAATGAGGTTCAAGCGATAGAGATGCCAGAAGAAAAAGAAAAAATGAGTTTTCAAAAGCATTACAAAAAACTTAAATTCCCATACGTTATTTATGGTGATTTTGAATGTTTAACTGCTTTA